CGTCGCGCAAGTTTTTTAAAATTTCCCCCCAAAAAAAAAGATCCTTGATTGAATTTTCAGGCACTTGAGCGACGAATACATATATTTCGTCGCGTAAATATATGTATTTGTCGTGCAAGTGCCTGAAAATTCAATACTCCCACGTAAAATTAAAACGCTTGCGCGACCAAAAATTGTTATGCTTCGCGCAATTATGTTTTAAAATGATTTTTTTTAATTTTTTAATTTTGTTTACAATTTATTATAAAATACAAATAAAAAAATTTATTTACAAGGTAATTCACATATAAAATAGGAATCATTCATACCATTGTGTCCATCACTCCATATAATGCATTAACCATTTTGTGTGTTTTACAAAAAAAGTTACAAATAAATTGCCTTAATCTTCATCCGAACTAGAATAACTTTCACTTTCGTCGCTATCATCATTTTCAGTGTCCCATTCCTCATCATCGATAGGTACGTCACCATCATCGTTTATGCACACTGGACCATCGTATCATGGAAGATTACCAAGGTCAATTGTGATCGACTAAATCGGTATTTCGATTAAAGATATGGTTCTTGGATAAGATTAGTATCTCAAAGTGTTTCCGTACCACTTTCCATCGAAGATTCAAGACGTTGGTCAACAACATTGTCGATGTCGTCATAAGTATGGTCTTGTTCTGGTATAGCATACACGTTCCTATGATCCATCTTCTGAACTACTTTCCAACCCTTCCCGGCTTTAGGGTCATCTAGATACACAATTTGTTTTGCCATGGCTGCTAAGATGTAATGGTCGTCATCGTACCAAGTTTTTGTAGTGTTCACTGATAGTAATCCATGATCTCTTTTCACACTTCCATGCCTATTTGGGTTTGTATCAAACCATCGACACTTAAATAGGATCACTTGGCACCGGTCTTTGTAAAGAAATTGCACCACATTTGTTAGTTTACCATAGAATTCAATGTCAGTACTTTCGCCTCCCCAGGGGACATAAACACCTTTGTTTTGCATACACAACTTGTCATCTCATGCACCCGCTAAGAACTTGACGCCGTTGACATGGCAACCTGAGGACAATTCAACGCAAATCAATTCGAACGCCAAGTTATATAACTCTTCACTATACGCAGGGGAATTCGATGCTTTCAGTTGATTCACCTAATATTAGACAAACATTTAAATTTGTTAGCTTGAGCAAATTAATTGATACAATATATATGTCCAATACAAGATACTTCAAACTTACATATTTGAGAAACCACTGTGGAAACAATTCACTATGTTTCTTGGCACACAAATGTGAATGATGTGCCTGCTTCATCATAATTTCATGCTCATCTAGGTATGACAGTGTCTCATCACAATTGTTGAGTACGAACCAATGTGCTACCTCCATGTCCTTCTTGGAAAACGACTCGCCACAAATCGGATCTTCGAATGGTTGAGTGATTTGGGCAAAAACTGAAAGTTTCTCAGTTCTCACACCCCCGTCATTATTGCTAGAAGGATGATTGAAAGTTGTCTCAACATCCTTCAAGTACATTCCACAAAATGTAAGCGCCTCATATGCCACTTAAGCTTGTATAATGGATCATTCGGGCTTCATTTTGTTTCGTACACTTTTCTTCAAATCTTAGAGAAGCCTACCAAAATAAAATGATATGATACACATATTACTAATCATAATATATTTAATATTGATTAATAAAAAAGACAAGGAATATATACCTTTCTATTGGATCATCCATTGAAAGTTGACAGGTCAAGCAAGCAATGCCTCCTCTGGTAAGTGAACCATCACGTGTATCATACTTGTGAAGAAAGCTGGAGGAAATATCATCTCAAACTTGCATAGAACTTGCACAATGACATGGCGCAACTGATTAACGTCCGTTTTTCATAACATTTTTTACGTCAATTGCGAAAAAAAAAACTGGACAACAACATGATTGGCTTCACTACATCGGCTGGCAAGAGATGTCGAATAGCCATAGGAAAGTATATGTTGTAGAACCACATGACAGTCATGACTCTTTAGGCCAATTAATTTACCCCTGTCAACGTTCACGCAACGTGCGATATTTGAAGCATACCCATTAGGAAACTTTACAAACGATAAAAACTTTAAAAATTCTCTCTTGTCATTCGGTTTCATTGAAAAAAAAAACACAAGGAGCAATATCCAAATGGTTAATATGTGTAGAAGGTTTGGTTCTATCGACATTGGTTTCGAAATGAGCAATATCCAAATGGTTAAGCTGTTCCAAGGCAATTTATCATATGTGCGCACACCGTGTGTCCGTAAATCTTTTAGCTCATCCACCAACAGCCGTAAGTATACATCGATTGACCTACCAGGATCCTCAGTTATCAATAGAGTCATAATCATGTATTCGTTTTTCATACATTTCCATGGCGGCAAATTATACGGAAATAGGAAAATCGGCCAAGTACTGTGATGTTGGTTTAAAACCCCAAACAGATTAAATCCGTCAGTGGCAAGTCCTAATCTAACATTACGAGAATCAGCAGCAAAATCAGGGAACGTTCAATCGAACTCTTTCCATGCCTCTTTATCTGCAGGATGCCTCAGGACATCGTCATCAACCTGTTTTTCCTTATGCCATCCCATGTCCGTGGCAGTATGCGTTGACATATACAACCGCTGCAACCTAGGCTTCAAAGGCAAATAACGCATGACTTTTTGTGGGATCTTCGTTGATCTATTCTGAGATGTCATTTTGAACCACGACTCATTGCATACAGGACATTTATCCAACTCTTTATTCTCCTTATAGAACAATACACAATTGTTTTTTGCAAGCGTGAATTTTTTCATAGCCCAATCTAAAACCATTCAACACCTTTTGAGCGTTTCTATGGTCATTCGGCAAACAATTGTGATTTGGTAGCATTCTCTTGAAAACCCGCAAAAAATAATCAAAACATTAGTTCGACATACGATACTTTATTTCCCCGTGCATCAGTTCCACAATAGCTGCGAGAACGGAAAATCCATCACACCCCGGGTATAACTCTTGGTTGGCATTTTTTAATAATTTTTCATATTCTTCGAAGTCTCCTCTTTCTATTGGTGTTGGCACATCATCTTCCACTTCCTGATTGGTATTTGTCAACGCAAATGGAAAAACGTCATTTAAGATTTCCATGACTTGTTCATTAGGATCCATATAATTAGGTTCAACATTGCCCATTGTTGTCACGTTTGAAGACGAAGCATTGTGTAATTGTTTCATGTGATGGTTCCAAATATTATAGGTCTTTACCATTCCATTCCTTACTAAATGAAATTAAACATTTTCAAAAGTTTCCCTTAACGTGTTGTTACACCTCCTACAAGGATATCGGATTCTAGTTGCACCTTGGTTGTGTGTACGTGCAGAGTCAATAAAATCCTTGATTTCGTTCAAGTATTCGTTGGCATATTTTTTAGGGTTATGCATCCACGTTATGTCCATCATTCCTGCAACCACAATAATAGTACAACAATCACAACAACTTCTACATTATCTTCTCACCTTATGCCTTCGGTAAGGGTCCTATCCCATTCGGGAATGCAAAATTATGGCACGTAATTTACAGCTACTTCGAATTAGATTTCGACGTGGACAAATTTCGGCAGCATGTCTGTACAGTTCTTCAAGTGCATAACAAAGATATGAAATACCTATGTGCCACTAGAAGAATGTACAGAGATGCCACCGAAATTCCCACAACCGAAACCTAATCCTTTAACCGTAAACTACGCGGCATAACTTTGCATTCCCAAACTATCCAAATAATGGGACAATTCAAGAATCAATTGGACCGCAGTCATGCTGTCACATCCATGTGCGACATCCAACTAATCCTCAAACGGAAAACTAAGTTTTACTAAAACAACCAAGTACGAAGTTAATTTCAATTAACTCCGTACATCACAACACATATTTGTATATCACGTACAAATTTGTACATCACGTACAAATTTGTACATATACAATTCAACATTATAAATAATTATAACATAAAAATTAATATAATTTAACAACTTAATATAAACAAATTTAACAACATATTTTCAATATACTTTAACTATTTCATATATATATTTTTTTAAATAAAATCATTATCCACCGAGCGCACGCTAGTCACACACAATATTCTTATACACAATAAATTTTAAGGAAAACTAATGAAAATGGCTTGAAAACTTTGAGTTTTAATGATAAGGACAAAATAAAGGGTAAAGTGAATAGTACCAGGATTGACTTTTTAGTGTAAAAATGTGGTTTTTCGTTAAAGTGAACAGTACCGGGTACTTTTCGTTAAAGTTCCCTAAATTTTAAGGTGTTAGTATGAGTTCACATTGAAAATTTTAAATGAAAAAAACAAAACCCTTACCAAACACAACGAAATACCTTGATGAACCTAGAGATTGAGATGAATGAAGTTTTAGAGGAAGAAATTGAGAGAAAATGGGACCGACGGATCCCGAATTCATGATAACCGAAACAATAATTTGCAGGGGAGAAAACTGCAGCTTTCTCGGTTTTCTCCCTCTGCAACTTATAATGTCAGGTTATAAAGATCACTTTTGGGATGAACACTTTGCGCGACGAATACAAAATTTGTCGCTTAAGTTATCTTAGCATGACAAATACATAATTCATCGTGCAGGTGTTTTTCCCCGTTTTATTTATATCTTTACTAATGTAATCCATTTGCATGACAAATACAAGATTCGTTGCGCAAAGCATTATTATTTTTTTTTTTCTGTTTTTTTCCGTTTTATTTCTTATTGATGTAATTTTTTTTATCCAATTCAAATTATCAAACCAACTTATATATTACCAAAATATTTATTAAACTAATTTATTAACTAAAATATATATTATAACTAATGTAAACTTTAAGCCTTCCATGCATGTAACAGAAAATAAACTCCAACATAATGTTCAAATACATAACATTTAAATAAATTTTATTTCATAAAATTTTTTTCAAATTTGGTCACTCTTCCTCTGCGTCATCAGCATGTGCATCGACAATGGCATTATCAACTTGTGCATGATTGCAGCCTGCTGTACATCGAACTTCCACTTCCGGAACTTCTTCTTCATTAGCTCGTCCACATACTTCTGCTGCTTCTCATCAGTTTCATCAACATCCCAAACAACCTGTAATGGCAAGAAAATTAAATTAAATATGGCAAACAAATTATTTTTAAACAAAAACAATTACACATTCTATAATATAAACTTATCGATAACTGCCACACCATCGAGTTCTTCACGTCCACATGCACCATTTTCCAAGAGTTAAACTCGATAGAACAGTTATCACGCACCAATCCCCCTATATCATAATTAAGTTCGGCGTATGCTTCAGCCGAACTTTTATCAGCAAACGAAGGCAAATGCTTACGTCGGTGTTTCTCTATTGTCACCACAGCTTTCTTCATTTTTTTTCCTACCACAAATATTAAAAACGTAATATAGCCTATTAAAACAACAATTTCAACCATATCAACTGTAAAACAATTAAGTCAACAATAATTTATTATTACCTTTCCCCTTATGAGAGCCTTCTCCATCCAAACCTTTCATTGACTTTAAAACTGAATCGGTCATCGTTTGATATAAAACCTTTGCAAAATAGAATTCTGAAATCGTGTTTATGTAAAACTCCACACACTTTGCGCGACCAATGGTATGTCGCTCAAGGTTCTTATAACTACCCGCTATAATGTTAGCGTTTAATGCTTGGCTGACCAGTTTGACTATATCTTCAGAACACTTTGCGCGATGAATGGTAGTTGTTGTTGCGTAAACTCGTCTTGCGCAACGAATAGCCGTAGTCATCGCGTAAAGCAATTTTGCGCAACGAATATATTCGGCGCTCAAAGAACCATTATGCGATGCTTACTAGTTTTCGTTGCGCAAACATAGGAAGACAAAAAAAAAAAAACTTTCCGTAAGATAATTAAAACAGTAAATAATTACAAACAAATATTCAATTATAATATTTATTCTACAAATAATTAAAACCTTAAATAAATTTATTTAATCCATTCAATTATTTAAAAACCCATACATGAATTAAACCATAATTAAGTTCAAATACATAACTTATAAAAAAAACCCCTTAAATTTAAATATTGTCATACAAAACATAAATTTAAAACTGCTATTTCGATGGTCCTCCATTCCGCTGGACTTCATAACGCCACCTATGGTATCCTCCCTCCAATGCATCCTCCGTCAACTTCATCACCTGTTCGTTCGTATCATCATCAAGAGTATATTTACCCTATTACACATATATGCAAATAATTAATTCCAACATATAATAAAAAATTTCACTAAATTAATCATTGATCCATCAACAATATACTTACTAATAATTCTTCCATCACGGCCTTCTTCGCATTCTTGGGCACATCTTTCCAAGAATGCCACTCAGCAGTAGGACAATTGTTCCCCATGGCTACAGCAATCGCATGTGCGAATTGAAAATGCTGCCTCAAATCATTCGAGTCAATGTCGGTCACGCTATGATCCTTGTTTTTATCCTCCATCTCACCATGAACAAAATTGTGATGAATAAGGAGAATAGAATTGTGAAAAATAAGGACAGCACAAACGCATATTTATAGGAAAGATGAGGCCCTTGTGCTACGAATTCTTCGTCGCTCAAACATCTGTACTAAATGCAATATTGATTCCTCATTTGATTCCTGATTCACTTGCAGTGAATGGTTGGAGATAAAGCTAGCTGGAACTTGCGCGACGAAATATTTGTCGCTCAAAGTCCAATTTTAGTCGCGCAAGATTCTCGCACCAAATTAATCTTGCGCGTGTTTTTCTTGTTCACTTTGCGCGATGACAAGGCATTTTCGTCGAGTAAAGTTGCTTTTCTGCACAATATTTTTTTTTCCTTTCCTCTCTGTTTTGTGTGATGACATTTTGTGTTTGTCGTGCAAACTGTTTTTTCTACTAGTGTTATTTTTCTAGATACTACTTTCATTCTAGGTGTTGTCCTTTCTTTTTTAATTACTCGTTCCAGCTAATATTGCCGTGGTAGTTGTTTGATACGAACCCCAAGGTCTGGAGACAATGAGGTATGCATGCATATCACCTACTTCCCGCATTTATCCAAACAAAATTTAATAGAATACATCTCTCTTCTGTAACAACACAAGTGATTATTTTGTGGAATTCTTTTTGGAGGAGGATGTGATAGAAACTGTGCTCCTAGAAAGCAAAACCACGACATTTACATTACCTAATTCATCATTTAATGCACCATCCAAAACATCACCTATGGATGAGTGATTCAATTCAGTAGTGAACTGGAAACCTTACATGACAAAGAAAGAGCTATTTAATTAAATAAGTAATTAACATGACAAAGAAAGAGCTATTTAATTAAATAAGTAATAGCAAATCACGCTTTACTACAATGACGAAAAATAATTATGTTTATGTACTATGGTGCGGTTTTGATTGTCACGATTTCCCTTTTCTCTAACAAGTAACAATTTAGCCCACTAACGCTATCATGTCACTAAAAAAAACATATAATTACTTATCAATATTATACTTTTTTATGCAGGTGCATATGCCAATGAAGAAGGGGAGGGTGAGGGTGAGGGGTGAGATATACACTAGTTTAACTAACTTGATTAAATCCAAATGGTTAATGTTATGAAGACTAAATTTGTAGATAAAATTTGTAAATCAAATGACATGAAAGTTGATGATTGGGTTATTACTTGAGCGTTGATAAACGTGTTTATTCCTATTAGTGACAAATCATTTAATTTACATATTTTATCTACAAATTTAGTCTTCCTAAAATTACCCAATCTAAATTTGCGTTACTGATATGATGAAGGATGTCATTGGATTTGAAAACCCTAGCTAGCTGCAAGCATAAGAGTGAAGATAGTTAATGACGGATGAGGATGGTGGGCTCGGAGAGGAGAGTCATGTGGAGAAAGATTATAAAAACCATGTGTGCCAAACAAGGTTGGTGAGAGATTAGAAGGAAATATCTGGGAGGGGTATAAGGGAAGAATTAGAAGGTAAAATAATTAACGTGGGATTAGGGTTTGCGATGCGTACAGTATGCAAGCAAACAAAAACCCCTTTGTGGGTCTCTAGCTAGCTCACTCAGATATCATAAGGTCAATGCCTCAATCTTTTTAAAATATTAACTTATAACACACACAGTTTCAGAATCTCACGAGAATTTGGAAAACCCAGAGACAGAATTTTATGTCATTATACTATTATATATTATGTACGTCCAATCTGTAGAAATATAAGCAATAAAATTCAAACCCTGTATTAGTTATATATACATTTCTATTGAGTACTGTACTGAGAAAAAACAAAATTGTACATAAAATTACAAAGATAGAGAGAGAAGAGGACCATGGAGCGAAGTGGGTGGGGGAAAAGGAATCAGAGACGAGGGTGTCTTTCTCTCTCTAACATTTTTTATCCCGTCGTCTCCGGAGCAGGGAAATCTGAAGTGACCATATTTTTTGGTGCATTTGATGGGTTTTGACCAGAGAGAGAGAGGAGAGAGTGAGAGACCTATGTGCTCTTTCTTTTCTTCTCCGTCTAGTGTCATTTTCCAAGATATACTCTCGAGGATAACCAAACCCAAACCCTACAACTTATGGCTTTCTCTCTCTTCCTTTCTTTTTTCTTTTTTTTTCTTTCCACGACTTATCTCTCTCTCTCTCTCTCTCTCGCTCTCTCTCTCGTGAGCATGTCTGTTTGTTCCAGAAGATTGCTGTCTTTGTTTGCTTTAGCTCAATATCCCTTTTAACTTGTTCCCGCACTCAATAATTTGGTCTTCAAAGCACGCTCACACAACAGCAAGCTTTCTTCTTTGTTCTTCATTAATTGAGATAGCTAGCTTTCCAAATATTCTTTGGAAGAAAAAAAAAGAACCAAATCTCCCCCAAATATCTTCAATCTCAAAAGCAATTACCTCCACCTTTTTCTTTAACTCTTTTCCTCAACTTTCTTCACTCACAAGTTGGATTTGAGTAGCAGCAGGGAAGCAAAAGAGAGAGGAAAAGAGGGGTAGCTTGCTAGTATTTGGTTTGGTAAAGTAGTGAATCAGAAAATGCCCTTGGAAGGGATTTTCAGAGAACCCTCTTCAGCCACAACTACGACTAGTTCTTGTCCAATTCCTGATCTTTCTCTTCACATTAGTCCTCCCAACACTTCCTCTAATTCATCATCAATTTACAATACCACCATTAGTGAAACCCAAAATCCCACTACTAGTAATTCCCAAGCTCACACTGAGCTATCCCTAGGGCGATGCTTCACCGGCGGAGCTCACGAGCAAGAACCACCACAAAACCCTTATCAACAACAAAGTTTTCATCTTCACCGTTCCAACAGTCATTTAAGCCACTTAAATCACGGTGTTTCGCTGCTTGATGTCTCGTCATCAGAGGGTTTAAGGCCGATTAAAGGGATTCCGGTCTATCATCAGAACCGCTCATTCCCCTTCTTGCCTATGGACAATATGATCACAAGAGATCATCACAAGGATTCAAGGATGTGCTTCTACCCAAAACCTCCTCCACCTTCTTCCTATAACCATCTTTCTTTTCCTTCAGCTGCCTCATGTTCCCCTAATACGCCGTCTGCGCCTTATTTCGGAGGAGGAGCCGGCGGTTTGGATCCCATGTCGAGATTTACCAGGTTCTCATCCGTGGATGTGTTTAAATCTAACAATCAACTGCACCACCACCATCATCTTCATCAACTTCATCATCACAATCACTATGGTATTGGAGGGGTTGGACCAATGTCTGAGGGTATCATGAGGTCGAGGTTTTTGCCAAAGCTGCCGACAAAGCGGAGTATGAGAGCTCCGAGGATGCGATGGACAAGCACTCTCCATGCCAGATTTGTTCATGCTGTTGAGTTTCTTGGTGGTCATGAAAGTAATCAATAATTCAAAACCTCCTCTTTTTGTTTTTTTCTTCATCTCTTAAGATATATTTGGAAAAGAAAATTCCCCTTTTAATTCCTTCATTTCTTGTTCTTAATTTCCTTTTATTTCGCGTAATTTTTTGTTATGATTTTTAGGAGCTACTCCAAAGTCAGTTCTTGAGCTCATGGATGTCAAGGATCTCACTCTAGCTCATGTGAAGAGCCATTTACAGGTAGCAAGCTACTCTCTCTCTCTCTCTCTCTCTCTGACACTCATGTGGGGCGGGGTGTTTCTCTCTGTTACACGAGGCACAGTTACCAATGGGGAGCTGTGAATGAAAAGAGTAGTAAGCTATAATATTTGTATTGAGTCTGTCTGAAACTTCTGAACTACTACACACTGACCTCTTACTCTCTCTCTCTCTCTCTCTCTCTCTCTCTCTCTCTCTCTCTCTCTCCCTCTGCTTAATTTCAGAGAAAAACTTTAAAAATGGATGATAAAAAATAAAACAGGCAAAAGTGTCATCATTTCCCAATAATGAAGAATTGTTCATAATTACTTCCTTATCCAACATGAACCTCGTGATTAATGTTTCGTCCTTCCATCTTTATTAATTTATAAACCAAGACAGTCCCAGAAGCCCGCGGAGAGAGGAACCTAGCTACAAATTAAGAGATCTGAATTGTATTAATTAATTAGTTAATTAATGGAAAGAGAATAGTTTTATCATTTTTATGTGTATGTTTATTTAGACTTCTGAATTTATATTATGAGTGCTGATTGAGAACAATTTTTCAGATTATATTTTTTAAACTATATGATGTGCGGGTTGATGCTTGAATTCCTTCTTAAAATCATCAACAAAATGAGTCAAACCTTCAACTGATACATTATTTGGTTTACAAAATATGGTCTAAGATGATACCCCTAACATTTTCCTTATTTTAATATTAATTAATTAAATGGCCAATGACTTTGTAGATGTATCGAACTGTTAAGACCACCGACAAGCCTGCAGCTTCTTCAGGTAATTCGTATTGCTAATCCTTTACCTCTTTTTCTGATTTTTGCTCCTTTAGCAGCCTTAACTTTTTCTTACTTATTACGCTTCACTTCACATTAATTTTAGGGGTGTGTTATCCACACACCCTTTTTTACTTCTCACACACCCCTTGTTAATTTCTACCATTTGATCTTCTTCAATTCACACTATCCAAAGGCCAAAACTTAAAAGGGTGTGTGAGAAGTAAAAAGGGGTGTGTGGATATCACACCCCTAATTTTTTACCGCACACATTTGGAAAAGTTTTGCTTTCCTTCCCTGTTGGTATTTGTTTTCCTTTTAATTGTACGTTAACCCCTATCATAGATCGACCTAGCAGAGCTAGCTGCATATATTTGTAGTCAACATTTGACTATAACACCTAGCTAGCTAATACATATATGCATTCATGCATCCCATGCTTGCATTCCATGCATACATCATTACTATGTCATGAATCATGATACACATAATACTAATGTACCCCATATACAAATAATATAAATGTACATTGTACATATGTAGCTTAGAAATGATTCTTATATGGATGGACCTTAATTAACTTTCATTTGTTTTCCTTTGAAATTAAGGGCAATCCGATGGATCTGGCGAGGACGACATCCTCTCTCCGATTTGCAGCGCAACGGATCAGCATGCCCTACGCAAT